TGTTTCATTCCAAATCCATTGTGGTGGTGTATAGAGCCAAAGATGTTAGAATTGTGTCGATTTCCCAGTATTTCTGGACCTGACTGTAAATTCAAACGCTTTTTTAAAAATGTGTTCTATATTGCAATGTGTCTGTAAAAAACTGCTTGAATTGCTGTTGACTTTAAAAAAAAAAGGCATAGATTGTTTTCTTTTTTAATCCCTTCAAGGGATCACTTCCACATAGGTAACTGGACAGAATACAGTAAAATGAATAACTTTTTATCGTGGTGCTGGTATTGAATTTATAAATTTGAGTTCACAGTTTTAATTGAAATTTTAACTGTCCTAGGTTGTTTTAAGGACATGTGAAGATGCTTGTACAACGTGAAATCATTGGAAAATTGATTTGAAATCCTGGCTTTCTAAACAACTGGAAAAGTATTTCTAAATACTGCTTAAGATTGCTCTTTTGAATAGAGATTAGAAATTAATCCTATAAAAGTGATGTATAATGATCAGGTCCTGTTTTTTCCTTTGGCTGGATTGCAGATGGGTTACCTTTGTTAACAGCTTTCTTAAAATCTTAAACCAGGGTGTTTTTGAAGAAAAGTAATATTAATGTGGCCTAGCCCACTTGATTTTTCCAGTGTTACAATGGGCCATTTTGATTCCTAGAATAAACTGTCATTTACTTTGGCTGCCTTCCACAGAGCTATTCACAAAAAGTCCATCAAGCTCCTTGGCTAGCAACTTTAGTGGGGCAGAACAATGCATGTTTGCTTACACCCAACTCAAAGATCCTTTTTGTTATTTTTATTTTTGTCTCTTTTTTGTCTCATCAAAGAAATCCTATCTGTGTTCTCAAAGATTGATGCATAGAACTAATTAGACTAGTGCTGTCATTCTGTTGCATGAAAACTTTGTGGAAGCCATGAGAGTTATGAAGTGTCTTTTTGTTACTCCATGAGCCTATGTTTTATTGTTACTATCTGTGTGCATGTGTATTCTAAGTATTTGGGCTGTATAATTGCGAGGCCACAATTGCTGCTGCTCCATATGCCCTAATATATGTGTGATTGATATTGTCATTCTTACCTATCCTTAAATTTAGAAGTTTCCAGAAACAAAATACAGGGTTTCCTTAAAAAACTGCAGGAAGACAAATGATCTTGGTAACTAATGATTTATTTATACAACTGAATAGGGATAGAGACTCTGAAAAGACTGGAAGAAGAATGATATCTTTTGGTCTAAAAATGTTATTTTTCCACCCCCTAATCCTTATAAATTCATGATTTTAGTGACTGCCCTTGCAGATTTCTTTCTAGTAATAAAATATTATTCAGCACCATTAACATAAAGTAGGTATTTTGGGCAAGACTATAAATTTTTCATGTTGGCCATAGATTTTTAGAAATCATATCAGTCCTCTAAAATTTCCTTCCTATATTAATATTTAAAATTAGGATTATATTTCAGAATAATGCCATATTCTTTAAGATTTTGCTTAGTGGGAAATAGTTGTCTTTATAACATAAAGTTCTATAATAGGCTGTTTGCCTGAATAAAGTGAATTCAAATGCTCCCTACAAAATTAATCAACTGCTTCAAGAAGATTTGTTCTATAACAATGTCAAGTTTTACCTGGGCTGTAATGTTAATAGTTTTCAATCTTGTTCAGGAAAGCCAGCTCTCAACTGATCTTTTGTTTATTCTGGCACATTCATATTAAATATGAATTACTTATAATGGCATCTCCACATTTTTACTAAGAATTTGAAATTATCAGGTTTATTCTGATAATATTTAATGATAATTATTGTATTTACACTATCCAATGAAAAAGTTGCCAAACGTGCTGCAATTATATTGTCTCTGATCCCAAGTATCCCATACATAAGCAGAAGCATACTGTATATTCTGTATACTGTCACTTCCCAACACTTTCTCACATCTTATCCTGACTCCACAGGATGTTGTGTACCCCACAACAAAGGTAATTGGGGGGCATAACCAAGAGAAGTCTCATTCCATTCATGTTTCTCTGAAGGCAACCCAAATTTTTCTCAAGTTGAGTAGAATGGAAGCAATACTTCCTAATGGAGATATTCTAAGTTGAATTATTTTTTTCAGCATTTTATTATTCCCCCCCCCCAATATTTTTAAATATTTATCCTAAACAAAATGCAGTAATATGATTTGGAGAACTTTACACATTGCTTATATTCTTCAGTGCTATCTGAATTCTGTTATAAATTTATATACTATTTGCCACCTATAAACTCATTCTGTCACGCATTTTCATCTTATAGTTCCAACAAAATATAATTCAAAATAAAGTAATTTGTACAATAGAGGAATCTTCAGGATGGGACAAGGAAAGGCAAATTACAAAGCTGTGTTGCACTGTCACAATGCAAGTTCAGCTCCGTTTGAACATCCATTATTATAATATTAACTTATTAAACTTGTATGCCGCCAGACTCAGTGACTCTGGGCAGCTCACAACAATAAAAAATTACAATCAAATCAAACATACAAGACAAACATAAAAGATGGCAAGCGTGATGAAACAAAGCATCTCACTCTCCTCGCCAAAGGCCTGGGTCACAAAGCCAGGTCTTCATAGCTCTTCTAAGCAACAGCAGAGTGGGGGCCATCTGGATCCTGGAGGGAACCTTGTTCCAGAGGGCAAGTACTGCTACAGAGAAGCCACACTTCTGTGGTCCCGATAGATGGTATTGTTTAATCAAAGAAACATGGAGTACACCAACCCCACAGGACTGAATTGGCCAAGCAGATGTTATGGGAGACAGGCAGTCCCTAGGCCATATGCCATGTAGGGCTTTGTAGGTATCAAGCAGCACCATGAATCACACCTGGAAACAAACTGACAACCAGTGCAGCTCACAAAATGAGGTATTACATGGGCATGCCCATTATTGTTTGTGCTGCCATATTCTGGATCAGTTGAAGCTTCTGAGTGGTCTTCAAGGGCAGCCCCATGTAGAACGTGCTGCCATAATCAAGCTGTGAGGTGACTAGGGCATGAGTGACTAAAAGGTCCCCCAATCTAGAAAAGGGTACAGCTGGTACACCAGATGGAATTGTGCAAAGGCCTTCCTGGCCACAGCTGACACCTGCTTGTCAAGCAGGAACTGTGAGTCCAGGAAGACCCCCAAATTGCATACCAAGCTTAAAGGAGGACGTGCTACCCCATCCAAGACCAAAGATGGAATATCCCCCGATCTTGGTAGCCCTAAACACCCACAGCCACTTGGTCTTGGTAAGATTGAGTTGGAGATAGTTCTTCCCCATCCAAATCCACATAGCCTCCAGGCACTGAGACAGAACCTTGATGGCCTCACTTGGCTGGGTTAAAATATCTAACTGGGTATCATCAGCATACAGATGGTACCAAATCCCAAACTGGTGGATGACCTCACCACCAAATGACCGGGAAAGAGAGAGTAGAACCCTGCAGCACCCCTTGCAGAAGGGGCCTAAGGAGTGATCTCTCCCCTCAACCAACACCGACTGGAACCAGCCCCAGAGAAAGGAAGAGAACCAATGTAAATCCCCAGTGTGAGTAAAAAAAGAGCAGAGCTTGTGTTGTGATGGTGATGAAGGGTTGCAGAAGATTCTCAAATAATAGAATTGCTGCATTATACTGACACAGTGCCCAGGAATATTTAATCAAACATTACTTATTGACTGGATATTGTTGTATCCCACGTAAGCTATAGTAAAATACTAGCACTGGTTAATTTTGTATTTCTAGAATGGAAGCTCTGTTTGAAAATAAGATGAAAGGGTGAATCATAGTATAAAGACAGTACTGGGAAACAATAGTTTTGGCTTATGCTAAGGTTTATGAGGAAGCTGTATGTTTCATTATCTGTGTTTAAAGCAGGTCTTTTTTTAATACTACTGCTTACATATTGTGTGTAGCATACACTTATTTTTAGATTGATTGACTGATTGTGTCAAGTTGATGTTGACTTGTAGAGACCACATAGATTACAGTCTACCCCTAACCTGGTTCTTTAGGTCTTCCAACGTGCACCAGTGGTGCTATAACTGCATCCATCCACCTTGATGCTGGTTGTCCTATTTTTCTAATTTTAGGTACATTCCTTATTAAGGTGCTACTAAAAAGTGACAATTTCCAAAAGGTTGATTTTTGCCATTTCTGGAAAGAAGGACTCGTTTTGCTATGAAATACTGTAGAATGACATATTGTGATATACCTGTGCTTTATGAGTAGTAATCATGGGAAAATGTAATAATTCTGTAATCTGTTCTCCATTTTACATTGTGAAATTGCCTATCTCCTTTGTTTCCAGATGGCTTAGAATCAATAGAAACAAGATGTGAATGGATGGACATCGGGAAAATCTGATGTAAGCTTCTTTAATTAGGACCCTTTCTGCATTTACAGGAGACTCTTTTCTCCCAGGGCCAAGCTGGTAAGTGTTGTTTAAATTATAATGAGTTCTCATAACCTTCAGCAGATATATAACAACATATTGCTGAACCTAAATCCTGACTTTTTATTATTTCATGTTTAAATGTTCTTTTCTTTGTTTAAAAATGAGAATCTTGTCCTGGCAGTAGGTGTTCTGAAACATTATTTAGGAGGAGAAATGAGAGGGAACACATGGAATCACAGGATTCTGAAATTTAATAGATCTTTTGAGGTTATCTTGTCCATCCTTATATAAATTAATTAATTGTTAGAAAATGCCTAAGCAACATTTTTGCTGCTATGCATACCTAGTTCACTTATACTAAGCCATGCTTCACTTAATCACAGTTGGTTGAACAAGACATACTTAGTAAGGTTCACGCATGCTGTGAAGACATAAACAACGTGTTACACATTTTAGTGGCTATGTTTATACAATATGCTAAGTAAAAACCAAAATGTATGAAACCAGGTTCTGTGTTTATAACCGTCAGCTCTGAGTCTTGAGATTTATCCATTCTATTTACACCTACTACAGGCTGAAAGGAAGTCTTTTAGTTCTTTTGTTTTGTTGATACTTGACTGTGAAACAAGAACTGTGATAGATCTCATCTTAACTTTTCCTAGATATTCATTCAAAGGATTACCCTCTAGTCCTGTAGCTTCTGTAGCTCATTCTTTTATGAATTGATTCTATTTTTCTTTGCTTTTAATCAGGTTCTCTTATATTTTGAAAAGACACCCATTTTCTTGCTGGGAAATCACATATCCATATAAATGCAGGTAAGTTTTTTTCCGTAGAAATTACTGCTGAAGCATTTTTTTGGTAATCAATACAGTAAGTGTAAAGCTGTATCTTTGCATTTGACTATTCTTGCATTATTTTGCTACACATGTCAATATGGAAATGTGTCCTTTTACAAACCATCTGTGTGCCATGTTATAGAACATCTACATAGATGGTTTACTAAGTGGTAACCAGAATTGGGGTGTGGAACAGCAAAGCAGAAAAGAAGCTCATACTATACTTTGTCTTATCAAGAAAATGAAATAGGTGTTTATCCCTTTAACAAGATCCTTTTACTAGTCATAGATCATATGTAGTCTTCAGTCTTCTGCCACTGCACCATGTTCTAGAATTGCTCATAGGAGCTGATGGCAGTGAACTTACCTTCTCAAGCTTTGGAATTAAAATTATACTAAATTAAAGTACTTTGCAGAGAGATGCATAATAAATACTGATAGAAGGCTGCACTGTTTCTTAAACTTGTCCAATTGACATATTTTTGTTGTAAAGTAGGGATAAGAATTAATTTTACTCTTAATTTATTGCTTTCTGTGTTTTTTTTCTTTCATTGTTGAATTTATGTCATAATCAATTTTCTAGTTCTTTAAGATGCCTCAAGAAACATTATATGTATCCCTTGCTTTCAGCTGCAATAAGAGAATATTGTTAATGGATAATATTTGATAGTTTGTCTACTTCGTTGTGATAGTTTTCCTTTCTATGTATGTAGTATATGTATGTAAAAGAAGACTGCAAAGCTATGGCTTTCTGTGCAAAAATGAGAAGTTCAAAGAAAAATGAAATCAGCACAGAAGTTCAGGAGCAAGGACTGGAAGTAATCTTCTACTTACAAGAAAAGCCTTCCTTTTGTTATACACGTGGCAAGTACACAGCAGAAGAACTTTGCATTGAAGCTGCACAAAAATGCTGTGAGTTTCAGTAGTAACCTCTCTTATTATTTAGCTTGTTTAAAATAAACAGGAATGATTTTTAGACTCATCCATTTAAAGGGAAGTTAGAGAAATTCTTGAATAAGGGCTTCAGTGGCTTCTAATCGTTAAGTTATGTTATTTATTATTGCCATGTTATACTATATTTTTACAGCAGTTTGCATTGAAAAGATAAAATTAGAATAAAATATATTAAAATAGCACTTAAAAATTAAATTACCTCCAGTATCAGAGCCTAACCTTGAATGATCTAAATTTTTTTTAAAAAAAGATAAAATCCAAAAACAAAAATCCTATGCAGGGTGAGGTTAGTAGTTGAATGGAAGATTGCCATGAAGTCACACAGCTAGATGAGGAAGTCAACAGAACATCATGGAAGAAAGTAATAGCAAACCATTCCCATGCTGTTGCTAAGAAAACTACATGAACGTGTCCATGAAGTCATCAAGACTTAAGCTTGTCTTGAGGATCTTTACTTTATCAAAAGTTGGATCCCTCTGAATACCCTTCATTAGTAAAGAAGATTGCACTACTATGGACTGCAAATATGGCCTTGCCCTGTGAACTCTGGTCCTAACAGGAACTATGTTGCTTTTGACTCAATTTATCACTCTGCCTTTACCTGTGTTCTTAAATATTTGCAATTGCTGGCTCCAACCTGAGGGGGTCAAGATGGTGCTTTTCCCACAAGCCTCTCATTAACTGTTGTGTGAGTAGAATGTTGGATGAGAAAATGCACCATAGGGTAATCTTTGAAAAAGTGCCTGAAAGCGCACATGTGAGTTATGGAAAAGGCAAAGCATGTGTGGAAGTTGCTAGTTTCTTTCAGAGTTTAAAATGCTATATGTACTCTCTTAAAATTCTTACAACTTTGACCCAAACATCTATACTACATCATTGTTTTCCAGAATCAAGATTAATCCCTTTAAAGTACTTTCTTCCTGTCATTAATTATCCTGTTTTAATATTTCATGTCTCTTTGGTATCATTTCTTTCCTTACTGTAATTACAACTGCAATTAATGAGTTATCACTGCTTTTCTGTGAGCCCTATCCATTAATGTGGCCCATCTCTCCAGGAAGTTCTCCTGCTTTTTGCTTCTTGTTTCTGGATAGTAAAAATCACTTGGACAGACTTCAAGAAGAATTCATCTACTTATTCTGAATAACTTTTATTATAAATTGCAGTGAACATTTTAAAAGCCTATGTATTATTCATGCTAATTGAGTTTAAAGGCTGTGTGTAGCACAGTAGCCAATAGTGCCTGCTTCCAAATTGTTTAAAAACTTAAAAGTACAATGGAGTCATACTGCTGTGAAAAATGACCCCTTTTTATTGTATTTCTTGCTAGTGTGTACAGATGGCAGTCTGACTATATTTTACTGAAATTATACATTAGTTTTCTGGTTTTTAAAACTTATTTAAGATCTCGAGTGAATCTTAGATGCAGTAAATTGTGAATAGGTTTTGGCTTATTTAAAGCAGGATTCTCTCAGTTTGTCCTTAGAACCAAAGGGCATCACATGCTCAAACAAATGAAAGATCCACCAACCTTAGTATTCCTCTGTGTGTGTGCTTGAGAGGAGAAACTGTGGAAAAACACACAGAACCTGCCCTGAATCTTGCTGCAGGAATATTTGGAAACAGTCCTTAGCTTCTGGATATTATCTTTTCTAAACTTGTTGCTGTATGTATAGTACTGTGCAAAAGTTTTAGGCAGGTGA